CAAAGCAGTATGCCACACCAATCAAAAAAAGAGCTAAAATTTCAACATTAAAGGCAGAAACAAGATAAAGAGGTCTAGTAGCACTGTTGTTCGTGGATTGTCTCAAGCAGGCCCCAATAATGTCTCCTTCATCCTAGCCCTGAGATTTTTAAAAAAGTGCCATATTCAAGGCTCTTTCAGGGATAGGAGAATGAGACCCATCATTGTTACTGGTATTTGGCAAATTGGGTACACGACGGGGATTTTGCCAGATTCTGCCATGTGGGCAGGTTACATTCGGTAGCCTGCCAGTTTCCAAAGTAAGAATGAGATAATAAAATGCCGCACAGCCGCAAATGCACCAGGGTGCCAGTTGGTGGATGTGACCCCTGCCTACTGGAATATGGAGGATCTGAGTGGAGGATGCTCAGCCCCGATCCGAGCAGGCTTGGAGATCTCAGCCCTTGGACCGCATGCCTTTGTTCCTCTGCTGGTACCTTCATGAGTAGTAGTAGCACTACTATTCTTTAAATTAGTATAGGAAGTTTTAGTAAGCACAATTTTATAATGAAAGAAAATAACAGCAATTCAAACTGGAAAATAAGTAAACTTTTCATTAATTGCAGATAGAATAAAATATAAATATAATTCTAATAAAAACTAGAGAAATATAATTTAAAGCACTAAACCAAAAGTAAAACGGAAGACTAAAAAATCTTATTCAAAAATTTACTCCATTATTACAGCAGCAGAAAACTAGACTAAAATAAATTAAAAAAAAAAACTCCTTTTCAATAAAATCAAAAAGAATCAAGGATGAGGAATCAGTTAAAGCAAGGTGCAAGGACTCACAAAAAAAATTTCAGAAGAGAGCCAAAAGCTGTAAAGATGTCTCCAGACCCCACACCAGGTTGAGTCTTATCTGGGGTGCCAGCCGGCCAGCCAAACAGTACATCCCGAGCGCCGACAGGACCAAAGAGGAAAGCAGGGAGGGCCTGGATCTTGCTGGTGTAGCACGGGCAGAGAGAGCCCAGCACCTACCTCAACAGAGCCCCAGCAGTCAAAAACCTCAAGAACCCAATCATCACCATGCTCACGGCCAATCTCCAGATGCTTGGAATGAGCCTCAGGCATGAGAATGAATCTGCTGGAAAAAAAAAAAAAGACATATGGGATTTGTGACAGAAATCTCCAAGCTTGTACAGTGTAGGGAATGCATGACCTTCCCCTATCTCTTTGTTCTTCCAGGACGCTGGCAGTCATCACCATGAACTGCCTCTGGCACAATGTAAGCTCATTAGTGGCCATGATCCAGATAGTCAGAAATAAATCTCAGAAGATAGCCACATGCTGCAGAGATGTCTCGGACCCCAAAATCAACATCCAGTTAAAAATTTAACTCCAGCTCTATCACTCTATTTAAAATTTTAGAATTCCTGGAGCCACTGATGTAGCAGGAGTAGCACCCCACATTCCATATGGTGTAAAGTAGAAAGCAACTGATCTCAATCAGTAATAAATATTAGTACATATGTCTCAATCTGTAACAACATGTTAGTAATCTCTTATACAAGAGCTTAATGTCTCTAGTGTGAGTTACAATTGTCACACACTTTCCTCTAAGGAAACATTTTTGGATCTTTTTAGTGAATTATTCATAACAAGCAATACAAAGTGAATTATATAGGATCTGCCTTTGGGGGAGACTTTGGTAGTGGTGGTAAAATTCAAAATAGTGGTGGGAAGGTAGTGGGATTGGTGTTGGAGTGTTGAATGTAATAAGTTGTTGTGAACAACTATATAAAAAATATAAAAAATAAAATGTTCCTCACTGACCATGAGGAAAATGTAAATCACAGCCAATCTAGATAAAAATAAAATAAAATAAGGTACAAGATTTGTACATCAAAATTTGAGTGGGGAGAAAGGAATCAGATGTGAAGCAATGGGAGTAGGGATTGTGATATATCAGTAGTTTAGGGGAGCGTGTAGCCAAATATCTAAACCACAGAATCAGCATCACTGAAATCATAAAACCTAAATTTTGACCACCAAACTTAAAAAAAAAGATGCATTTGACCACCAAACTGTAAAGATGCATTTGAGATGGGGTAGGAGATAAAGGAACACTGGTTGAAAGAATTTTACAATGTTGTTTACAAGTTTACAATGTTTCGGAATATTGTATGTCCAAAACTTAACTATAAATAACTTTGGGATTCATAATGCTTAAATAATATCTAGGTGTATATCGTAGCTCAGGGATGGAGCAATGGCACAGCAGGTAGGGCGTTTGCCTTGCATGCAGCCAACATGGCCAACCTGAGTTCGATTCCTCCACCCCTCTTGGACAGCCCGGCAAGCTATTGAAAGTATCTCGCCCACATGGCAAAGCCTGGGAAGCTACCCATGATGTATTCAATATGCCAAACACAGTAACAATGTCACAATGGAGACATTACTGGGCCCACTTGCTGGGCCCACTCGAGAAAATTGATGAACAACGGGAGGACAGTGACAGTGATGATTGGAAAATTTAAAATGTTAAAATAATAGTTTTACCCAACACATTTTGCAAGTTCTCACAATCGCTATCAAATCCCATTGGTGCTATTTAAATAAATAGAGCAAAGGCTACTAAAATTTGTATGGAATTAAAAAATACCCAGCTAGTAAAATCAACACTAAAAAAAAACAAAAATAGAGGAATCATATTCCATGCTTTCAAAATATATTCTTTGTTAAGTTTTTTGCCTGCTCAGAGATACTGGTTTAAATTCCAAAGTTTTCATATTTATAAAGTTAATATCTACTTCATTGCTATGCGATAGGAAATGATACTTGGCGTCTTTTCAGGCCTTATGATTTTGAAATTTTTGTGTCATAATATCGTGTAAAATGTTTCATGTTGGTCTCCTCTGTATAAAAGACTTCAGTAATTTCTTCTAGCTTTAATTTTGTATCAGAAATAATACGCATGAAATACTTTTTAACGTCTTCAAACATTTAAGGCAGAAATATTTAGTTGGACCTAAATTTCATCCTTTAAGTATGCAGGATATATTGTATATATATATATATATGACTTGTATCACTGTATCACTTATCATCCCATTGATCTTCGATGTGCTCGAGAGGGCGCCAGTAACATTTCCATTTGTTCCTGTTGCGTGCTAGTGTAGCCCAATGGCATCTCTTTGCTCCAGAAACACGAAGATCTTCAAAACATTTGTTCAGGGTTTTGACGAAGAAGTTGACCATCTTGTAGGTGGGTGGCCACGCGTCCATTTGACATCCCCGTGGAAGCCAGTCGGTAATGGCTCTAGTCCAGCAGTCGCCTCCAAATCTCATTATGTGTCCACCCATCTGATTTTTGACGGCTTGGTAAATGAGACAGCGTCTCTGATTCTTGATCATTGACAGAGGCCAGAACTCTGGATTCTTTCTCTCATTTGAGTGAATCGTGATACTACAAGCATGGCTCTTTCGATTCCTTTTTGTGAGACACCAATAGCATTCTTATCCTGTTTTTGTAGGGCCCAGCTCTCTGAGGCGTATGTTAATACAGAAAGAATAGTGGAATCAAAGAGATGTGCCCTGAGCCAGAGGTTCTTTGTCCTCATAGCTATTTTTGACGCTCTTGAAGGCATTCCAAGCCACTCTCTTCCTTCTGCACAACTCAGGTGCCAGGTCATTCGTTATGTTGACTTTTTGACTTAGGTACACATAACCATTGCATTCGGAGATATTTGTCCCTTTGAGAGTGAATGGAATGTCAGGAACAAGACTGTTTCTCATAAACGTTGTCTTGGTGAGATTCAGCTGTAGTCCGACCTCTCCACACTCACAGTCGAAGTTGGCCAGCGCTTGTGCCGCTTGGCTGATGTTTGGTGTTATTAGAACAATGTCATCAGCGAAGCTAAGGTGGTGTAGTTGCCAAACGTCTATCTTCACTCCCATTCCTTCCCATTCCACTCGTTGCATGACGTTCTCGAGGGTGGCACTGAAGAGATTTGGTGAAATGGTATCACCCTGCTGAACCCCTCTCTTGACATCAATGATCACCTCCCTGTAGAATGGTGAGATCCTGGTAACACAGCTCACGGAGGATACTGATGTACTGAGTTTGAATGCCCTGTTTGGCTAGGGCTTCAATGACTGCTTCCGTCTCAACAGAATCAAAGGCCTTCTTTAAATCAATGAACGTTAGACAGAGCGGCATCTTGAACTCCCAAAAAGCCTCAATGAGCTTGGTTATCATGCGGATATGTTTGATGGTGCTGAATCCTTTTCGGAAAAAGGCTTGCTCGCATGGTTGTCCTTCATCTAGTGTTCTGTCAATCCTATTCAGGATGGCTCAAGTGAACAGCTTGTAGATGACAGACAACAGGCAGATCAGCCAATAGTTGCCAATGTTGTGGATGTCTCCTTTCTTGTACAGTAGTACAGTCCTCATGATTTTCCATTGGAACGGAACCTTGCATTCAGACAGGTAACATGTGAAGAGCCGAGCCAGTGTATTGACGAGTACTGGCAGCAGATTACTCAAGTGTTTCAATCTGACCTTATCTGGACCAGGTGCTGTAGGCTTCTCTACCAATGAAATGGTGTGTTGAATTTCGGAAGGGAGAACTTTGGGAATGATATACCCATCCTGTGGAATTTGATATACCCATCCTGTGGAATTTGGTATGTGGGCAGGTGGATGTGGATATCGAATAGATCTGAGTAGAAGTCTATAGACATAATTATATATATATATATGTGTATATATATGTATATATCCTGTAAAGAGACTAAGGAAGGGAAAACATAGATCTTTACAATTTAACAAACGACATCCTATGAAAAAATATGCTAAAATCAGAATGCCTGAGGGCACTTAATTTATGCCTTTATCTTCCCAGATCCCTGAAATTAAGAACCTCAGTGTCCCTTCTGAGTCATACTAATGCAGGGAAAATTCATGGTGAAGTCCACCTATTATGCCATTGACAGTTATAATCTGCAATCACAAGTCAATGGGCAGAAAAACACCCAGCAAGCAGCTGGCCACCAAGGCAGCCCACAAGAGCGTGCCAGCCACAGGTGGCAGGCAAAAGCCGCACCGCTATCGGCCTGACACCTTGGCGCTGCGCGAGATCCGACATTACCAGAAGTCCACTGAGCTGCATATCTGCAAGCTGCCGTTTCAGCGGCTGGTGCGTGAGATTGCACAGGATTTCAAGACTGACCTGCACCCCTAGAGCTCAGACATCATGATGCTGAAGGAGGCGTGCAAGGTCTACCTGGTGGGGTTCTTTGAGGATACCAACTTTTGCACCATCCACGCCAAGCACGTCACCGTTATGCCCAGACATCCAGCTGGTGTGCCGCATCCTCGGAGAGAGGCCATAAAGTTTACGATGCTAAAATATCAGGGCTGGAACAAATGGAGACACTACTGGCACCAGCTCAAGCAAATCGATGATTAACGGGATGACAGTGCTACAGTGCTGCAGTGCTTTAACAATGAAAATCTGTAAATGAAAAAAATAATTATCTATATGAACTGGGGAGATAAAACAGAATGTAGAGTACTTTCCTTGCTTGTAGCCAACCTGGTTTCAATCCACAACATCATATATTGTCTCTTGAGCCTTGCCAGGAGTAATACCTGAACACAGAGAAAAGAGTAAGTCCTAAGAATTGCCTCTCCCCCCAAATTCTGAAATAACTTAGTGTTAATTAAATTGTAATTTAATGAATAAAATCAAAATATTATTTTAATAAATTAAGTGGGAATATTATTAAACAGTTTAAATTAACATCTAGACCTTCCAGCTTATATCTCCTATAAAACTTAAAGGAATTTTGAGTAAATCACAAGTGATCCATTATTTACTCCTTTCCTATATTTTGTATTTTTAAAGTATCTTAAATATTTATTTACATTTTTTCATTTTTATAGAGGACCATTAAATATTCATTAAATATATTTTATAGCTATGGCTTTAATTATTGATATTCTAAAGTGCTTTGTATCACACCTTCACATTTGATTATTAAGTTTGATTAAAAATAACTGGTTAAAGTCTTTTTTTAATTAAACTAAATTACTACATCATACAATTCTCTCCTGACTCATAGTTTTATTTTGACAAAACTGTTCTGTATGTTATGAGGATAACATGTATGTGATCTTTATTTATTGTGTTTTGAGGCCACACTTGCTCAGCACTTACTTCTGAACCTGTATCTGTTCTCAGAAATCACTCTTATCAGTAACAAACACAGTTCAGTATCATGGAACACAAGTATTTTACCTTCTGCAATGTATCTCTGTCCTGGTTTGGATTTTTTGGGCTGCTTTTGTAATTCACTCTATGATTTTGACTCTTGCTTTTTTAATCATAATGTGTCTTGATGTTGTACATTTTAGTTCATTTTATTTGGAAACCTTTGAACTTCCTAGACCTTGACATATGTATCCTTCCTCATATTGGGGAAGTTCTATTATTTTTACAAGCAATTGTTTTTTCTTCCACTCCTTTCTTCTATAGCTTTGATGACATAAATTTAAGTCCTCTTGATGTCTATTAAAATGCTTGTATTTGACTTATTTTCACATTATGTTTTCATAGTTTACTTTTTATGGTTTCCTGTACCTTACCCTCAACCTTAATATTTCAATTCTGTTTCTGATATCCTGTCTTTGTGCATTTTATTTTAAATTCTGTATTCTTTAACTCAGTGATTTATGTTTATATTTTTATCATATTTTCTCTCTCTTCATTTATTCATTGCTCTGGTTTTCTTATTTCAGTAAGCATCATCAGGATTATTGCTCCTAAGTTTTCATCAGGAAGTTAAAATGTTCTGATATGCTTGAAATCCTTCTGGAGGTCTTTTCATACACTAATGTAGGTGAATTTCTCCACTGTGCCTAGTGCTATTTGAATGCTTAAAGAGAATTTACATTTTCAATAATGCTTAGGCAACAATTTAGGATTCATGCCACTAATTCTAAGCAGAGTCTGTAGCTGAATATTTGTGAGTCCCTGTATGACTTCTGGGAATTTGCAGTGAGTAGTTTCTTGCTCTAGGTACAGCTCCAAAATTTAACAAATATGAGCTCATAACCATGGTTTGAAGCTGCTGATGCTTGACAGTAGCTATGATGTTAAATTCCAGCATGACTGGACAATGATTGGGTGTTCTCAATCATTTTTGACAACAGCAGTTCTAGTGCCATAAAGACTTGTATTTACCAGGGTATTTGATTTTGCAATGACATCTGTCAGCAATGATAATTCCAGGTTCAAGTACAAATTAGAAGTATCCTATGGTTAAATGGTACAATGCTTTACAATGCCTATGGAAATAATCAGGACTGGGCTGCAACCATTTTTTTAATTAAACATTTAGTTAATGCTTAATTAAAAAATGAGATGTACCATGTCACCACTATCTAGTGTAGTCACATTGACCTGTACATAGATAAGTAATCTGTGTGTTTGGGGGATTAGGGGATTGGATTTAAGAGGAGCTGTAGGGAGAGGAGAGATACTACCGCTGGTGAGGCACTTCACTTGCCTTGCACTCAGCTGACAGAGTTTGCTCCTGAACCCTTGGGTACAATGATAGGAATAAGCCTTGAGCACCACAGGGTGTGGCTCCACTCCACTCCAAAAAAAGAAGAGATTGGAGTATCAGTCACAGGCTGTGTCTTCTGAGTATTAATGGGCAATGCCGTTTCTTCCACCCTTGAATGACTATTCTTTGAGTCATCTCCAGAGCACACTTTTTCCCCTTGGCATTCAATCATGCTGTCCTCTAGCAATCAAAAGTGAACATGGAGAGGTTGGAGCAATAGCATAGCGGGTAGGGCATTTGCCTTGCATATGGCTGACCCGGGTTTGATTCCCAGCATTCCATATGTACCCTGAGCACCGCCAGCAGTAATTCCTGTGCATCGCCGAGTGTGACCCAGAAAGAAAAAAAAACTGGGGTGAAGAGATATGATAAGGTGTATGGCACAGTACTTACATTTCTCTAATGCTTGTTCAATCTCGTATTAGATTATGCAAAAAAGGGACTCGCTCCCAAGCATAGATTCAGGAATAGAACATGGACACTTTCATTTATAGTTAAAACTAGTTCATTACAACAAATGAAGAAGCCATATTTAGTTGATAGGTCATTAAAAATTAGCTAAATTTGTCCTGCATGGTATTACTACCATACACTTAGCAACATAAAATAACAAAAAAAATATTACCTTACTGTGTCATAGCACAGTGGGTAAGGCATTTGCCTTGCACACGGCCGACCCAGTCGGCTCAGGTTTGATTCTTCCGACCCTCTCAAAGAGCCCGGCAAGCTACCGAGAGTATCTTGCCCATACAACAAAGCCTGGCAAGCTACCTGTGATGTATTCAATATGCCAAACACAGTAACAAGTCTCACAATGTTACTGGGCCCGCTCTAGCAAATCAATGAACAATGGGGGGACAGTGCTACAGTGCTACTGTGTCATGAGTATAAATGCAGGTTAGTATTCTCTGCCTAAAGGTCTCGTAAGTCTATGTTCTAAGGTTTAAGTTGGGCTTCAGACTAATATGTAGATTGGGCAGGGAAAAATATACTACCAATTTAATTTTATGGACAAGATTTATTTGTGTAAGTTTGGATATAGGGTTTCATTTCTTCCTAACTTTCAGCTAGATGTCAGTCTTTGGATTGTATTTCCTTGCCAGATTAATTCTTCTCCAACATGACCATACGCTTTCTTAAAATCAAAGAAAAAAACTCTATAAGTCAGAGGCAGAAACTTTAACTTAAATTCCCACAGAATCATGTGCATCTTTTTGTCTTTGTTACTTTCTGTTTTAAAAACAAGTTAGTTTATTTCATAATCAAAAGAATGGAGTATGCATGCATATACATTCAAGAATGTGTATTACCATGGGTTCAACTCTAAAAGTTTATTCACCATAAGATCTGTTGCTTGAATTTAAGATAGTATGTAAAAAAAATAGGCTATTTTCACCTTACTGAACTTAGCTATTTTTCTTCTCTTCCTAAGGTGCCAAAATTCCATGTATTCAAATCATAACAGGCTCTGGTCACTAAGAAGAGGAGGAGTATAAGGAGGAAAAGAAAAGGGGGAAGGAAGAGTAGAAAGAGAAAGAACAAGAGAAAGATGAATAATTAGAGTAGGGACAAGGAGAAGAGGGTTAAAAATAGAGATGGAAGAAAGTAAAGAACGAATAAAGGGGAAATGAGGAAAATAATTTTGATCACTTGGGAATAAGATATCAGTTTTAGAACTTGTATTATACTATAGCAGGTCAATAAAATTTTCATGTTGACCGAATGTGATTTGGAGACTTCAGATAATATCTCTCTATATATTATATATAGACCTATATGCATATATACGCACCTATATATGTGGGTAAATATATTTGAAAAGTTATAGACATTTGAATTCTTCCAGTTCATGGGATATGCCAACAAGGTGCAGTTATCCTTATATTTGAGCACTCACTTGAGCTTTCTTTTTTTCTATAAACCCTTAACTCAGACAGACAGTGTGATTGTTTTCTCAGTGAGATGTCATAAACTTATCATATGGATATAGTAACGCAGATATTTTGGGTATAATAAACATTTTTAAATGTCATAATATTAATGGTAATTATTATTTATCATCTCAAAACTGACTTTGCTTGCTTCTACTACCAACTTGAACTCTTGAATTATGAAAATACAATAAAACTCAACATCATTCTAAATTTAATATATTTAGGCTATATATCGTTATCTATTCCACTGTTCAGAAATGCAACATATTAAATATTTATGAAGACAATATGCTAAATTATATATTATAGCTATACAAAGAATTCCAGTACACATAAAGTAAATGATGAACCAAAAGTTTATAAAATATATATGAGACTGTGAATAACCAGTTTGATTTTAAGAACATTTAAGTGTCAAAAACATCCCATCATCTCTCTCTAAATCTGAAAATTTCAGTGTTTCTGCTAATTAAAAAAATTTCACTGTCTGCACCTATAAGTTTTTGATATCTAAATCCAGTAGTTTTAAATAAAAAATCAATCAAGAAGTAAAATGAGAGGTTGTGGTGAAGGACAGATGAGTTTAATTTTGCAACGGCATGAAAAAGAGAATATATGTGTGTGCATATATATTTACATATATATAGAGAGAGAAAACAACGGACAACAGATATACA